TTTAATTCTGAGCTACCGACCGATTACAAAAAGTACCTAAGTGCTACATGTTTCTCGAAAGCCAAATTGTGGTTTGCAAAAATGGAGAAAGAAGTCAACTCTCTTCCTAAAAAGCTCAGAAAGTGTCCTAAAAAGCTCAGAAACCGCATTTACCAAGACAGAAATAAATGAAAGAGAACTACTAATATCTGCTTGTCATCTTCCCAATTTAACACACTAAAGAGCAAGAATCTTTTCCTAAAACGGGACTCTTCTCCATTTTCAGTGCAAAAGGACCATTATCACCACCCTCCTTGGGGGTGGGGGACTGTGTCCTTCTCAAAGAAAGGGGGTAAATGGAAACATGAGTGTCTCACTAAAAGCACTTGAAGATTTCAAATTGCTACCTCTGAAAGTCCACCTGGCTATGCCTAAGGCAACAGAGAAGTTTCCTCCTTTGGGTAGGGGAGGGGCAGCTGGCGAACACTGGAGGTGGGGAATAGAATACACATCTGCGTGAGGAGCAAACACGCTTCTCTGAAAAGAATCAATACTCTTACTCTTGCCTTAGAACAACAGGACTGAAGTTCGGGGAAAGACCCTATAGCTTTCATGGTGGAGGGCAGGGAAATAAACCCCCAAACGTGAAATGACAGCAGTGGCTGTGCACGCGTACACTTGACAGAGCGTATTTTTGTAAAACGTAACACAGCAGCGGTCCATGCTGCTTCTGATTCAAACTGTGATCCAATCTTCTTCAGTACCAGGCTCTACCCTCCATGCATATTAAAAACTTTCTGGCAGGAGAAGAGGAGAAACGTCTCACAAAGAGGGCAGGGCTTAGGGCCTTAACTGTTAAAACCCAACGCCAGCTGCACTGGTCACAGGAGAAGTCCTGCATCTCTCAAATATTTCTTGCATAACATAGGCGGGTCAGGCTTTGGGCAGAGCTGGTCATACAAGCACCCTGCTGGGTGCAAGTTAAAATTCAAAGGGCTAGCACAGAGAGAATACACATCGAGAAAATAAATGACTGCTTATTTGACACGGACTAAGTCCCCCCAA